TGGGATGAAGGCAAGCCCAAAATAAAAGATCAAGTTGATTGTTTGTGGCAATTTCAGTTTCTGTGATGATTTTTATCTTGGTTTCTTCTTGCTTTCTTTCATCAGCAAAATGCTTGTAAAAACACACTGATTTTGGTGAAACACTTGCTAGGAAATCTTCCTTATATTACAGAATGTAATTTTTAGTCAAATGCAGAGGGAGTTCCATCAAACCTGAGGATCCAGGCTCTCAGCTGGCAGAGGAGCTGTGCTCACATCCAGTGACTGAGAAGTTACGTGATAGTTTCAGCAGAAGCTCATGGGACATGAGCAGGATGATAGTCATGGCTCCTGCATGGACTACAAGGAAACCAAATTCAAATCTCTGCCATTTTCCCCCTCCATCTTCAGGCCCTCATCCAAATTATTTGCCTGTGAGAGATGTGCTTCCAGAAGCTTCCTTCCTATTGAGGGGACAATGAATTCCTCTCTGATTACCCCTGTTTTCTCAGTTGACAACAGGAGATCCCAGGTAATTCACCTAAATCTTTACATAGCTAACCCTTTATAAGCTGAGACTTACACCTTTGCTTTTGAAGATGATTCTTTTCTTCTGATTCTTGAGATCTCACAGAAAAGTAAAATGATTTTCTTGCCCTGTCTGCACAGAGGTTGTTGGTAGGTAGGAAAAAGTCCCCTTATAATTTATTATCAGATGATTAACATTGAGGCAAGACATTCAGTTCAATGCTAATGGTGTTATTTGTCCAGTCCATGCCATTATCTCATTTAATTTACAGTGATTATTAAACCTGTGCTGCATTGGAATAAACAAAAAGGTAGGAAACTTCATTACAGAGCAGCATGTATTGTCTTTCCTTTTATTAAGCAATGGAGCTGGGGATAATGGCTCTTAAGAGAACTAGTTCTTTCCAGTGGTTTTGCAGTGAGGCATTCCAGCTTTTCTGCAGGATGGTAAATATTCATTAAAGCAACCAGAGAGAGCAGGCTTGTGAGAGGCAGGTAGCTCTGAACTGCAGGGCTGCTTCAAGCTGTGATGATGAAATGCAGGGGGATTTGGAGAAAAAAGGAGAAAATGGCAAGATGTTAAATATTTCACAAAATACACAGTAACGTTCATCAGAAAAAGAACGTTACTCCTTTTAAATCCTCTAAATCAACCTCAAATGAAGAAGTCTTCAACTGCATACATGAGTCTACATAGAGCTGGCACTGGTGAAGGGAAAGTATATAGTGAATACCTAATTTATAAGTAGATAGAAATAAAACAACAATGCCTGTATCATCAGTTACAATCTGCTGCTGTCCTGATGCTGCAGATTGTTCCTATGGGAGAGTTCTCATGTTTAAGCAGTAGAGCCAGTGGCATGAGTAACCCTGAGGGATCAGGTCCCACATTAGCAGTGCATAATGCCACCCAGATGGAGCATTACAGCAGTCAGGGGCACAGTGGGATGTGCAGCCTCATGGTTAGAGGGTACAGACTTGACCAAATAAAGACACAAAAATGTTAATAATGTGAATGTGCACATCATGGAATCATAGAATGGTTTGGGTTGGAAGGAACCTTACAGCTCATCCAGTTCCAACCCCTGCCACGGGCAGGGACACCTTCCACTAGAGCAGCTTGCTCCAAGCCCCTGTGTCCAGCCTGGCCTTGAACACTGCCAGGGGTGGGGCAGCCACAGCTTCTCTGATCACCCTGTGCCAGTGCCTCAGCACCCTCACAAGGACAACTTCTGCCTAAATTCTAATCTAAATCTCCCACAATCACCAACCCACGATCCTTTAGTTAACCTGGTATTGAAAAAAAATATTTTTTTTTTCCTACTTTGTCCATACACTGTTCTGGTTCTTTGTCATCCATCAGATCGAGTCAGCTTTTTGCAGGAGGTGTGACATTAGCATCATCACGCTGTTCCCTGTCAAATCCCTCCCCAGATCCCTTCAGCTGCTTTGGTGAGCTCACACTTGCGCTGTAGAGCCCCTTGATGTGTAAAATGTATGAGGTGTTTTGATCAAAGGAGTTCTTGTACTTCATGCAAATTTCAACACATTCATAGCAGGCAGATGTGAATGTATAGATCTAATCCTCCTCATCTCCACTGGGCCCCTGGGACATCGGTCCAGCCAGCAAGGGCAGGGGGGATTGGTGAAGAATAACTTCTTTATTTCATTTTAAGACTGTATTAAGCTTTATCCATGTGCAGTAACGTTAATGTGCTGAACACCTACCTTTAGACAGATTACAATGACCACATTTGGGGAAAATGGTCTTTTTCCTTTCACCTTTTTTCAACATCTGAGTAAATGGCAGGAAATCTTCCTGCAGTCCTTCCAGCCACTTCAAATGGCATTTTAGATGTCAGAGAATAAGGTTCTGTAGATTTCTTTTCAAACACAGAACCGAATACATTAAGTAAGGAGACTGTTTTTTGTGGGTAGTAGTGGCCATTGCTGACTAATCCTATTTGCAATGAATGATTTTGAACGTCTGTGAATATTGTATCTTCCAGTGTTTTATTTTCCAGTCTCTGTTTATTCAACTCTAGTATCTATGAATTTGTTATCAACCTAAGTTTTATTTCTAGGTAGAAGGAGTTCTGATGAGACAGGGTGATCAGTCATCTTGGAATCTGTCCCGGAATCATGAAGACTTTGATACTACTATGATTCAGATTTTAGAAGTAGGATACAGGACTAGTACTTGTTCCATGTGCCTTTCCTCTGAGTTATAGGGTTCTCCTCACCTTCCTTAAAATTGTGGCCTTGGAAATGTACTCTTTCTCTCCTAACAACAGAGTGGGAGATAGGGGCTCTAACTGCCAGGTCGCTGGGTTTGAGAGCTGTGTTGAGCTGTGGGTACATAGTGAAGAGGACATGTTCTAGCACTTATTTCAGGGGTGGAGTGGATCTTCCCCTCCTGCATCCTGTCTCAGAGGCAATCCTCTTGCATTACATTTTCCCCATGTTATTAAAGAGTTACTCTAAATTACAGGCAAGATACTGCTGACTTGTATGAATTCATTGTACGATGGCTGCATTGAGAGTCTCTGCTCCCTACATGAAGTCATTACTGGGAACCACTGGATGAGTGACCTCATAAATTTAAGTCAGCCAGGAGGGAGAAGGCTTCTGTCATTCCTCTCATTTGTTCATCCTGTGCTGCTTTGGAAGCTGGAATAAAGCTCAAGTAAAAGAGGATTATGATTTTCTTGAGTTCAGGTCCTTGCTCTTCAGTTGCCTAATGAACAGTTGTATTCTCATTTAGGACTCTGCAGAGAAAGGGTTCCACTCTTGTACACAGTGTTTGAAGAGAGCCTCTGCAATGGGTGAAATATGGAGCTCATTCTCATAGCAGATACGTTTAAAAGACAATGATGCACTGGAAAATACTTTCTTTGTGGAACTGTTGAACTCATGAATATCCTATTCTTTATCCCTTGGCTGACATGCATTGGTGCATATACATTTGCAGTATAGAAAATGAGAGATTTTCTGTATTGTCTTCTTTACCATGTTACACACACAGTTCTGCTCACTACTTTTCTTAGTACAGGCACAACTTTGTGTCCTTTGGAGGTGTTCTGTGAAGTGCCTTTGTTTCTGACTACCTCAAAATCACATTTGAGTTTATGAACTTTGTAGGAAGAACACTGCACACAAAAAAAGGTAAGAGGAAGACCTGGGATTTGACTTAAATCAGTGTGTTTTGCTTTGCAGGACTGAGCTGAATATGGCACAAGTTCATACTTTGCAATAACCTCTGCGGAATAGACCACATTCCTTAACAATTGTATTCTTATATATCCTCGTGTTGTCTGCCATTCCACTTTGATGTAGGAAGCACTGAAAACAAATATTTCTCTTGGGTTCCTTTATTCTAAAAACAATTGCTATAACAGAAAGGTGCAGCCAGATGCATTTCAGTTTGCACAGAGATTATTGTTTGGTGTGGCCATCTAATATCCTTGCCTCCAAGTCACCATTAGCTATAGAAAAGTGACTTGACAGCAGCTGAATCATCTAGAACACAGCTTTTAATCAGAATTTGTTCTTGGAAATGTTGCTCTCTTCCACAAAAGAAAACTGCAATAGTTCTAATTTTCATTGAATCAGTTTTAAATGTATGACTGTTCTGCTTTATAACAGAATTATTGCATTGAAGAAAGGCTGCTTCAGGAACAGCAAAAAGGAGTATACCAAATTACAGATTCTCCTTCTAAAAGAGTCAAACATTCCTTTCTTATGGATGTCTGCCTCTAGAAAGCTATCTGGCTGCTTTGCTATGCAGGAAGGGGAAAGCCTTATAAATCAGAGGGGGATTATTTCTTCTTATTTAGTTAGAAACACATATTTTTGTACATTGCAATATCAGCTTTGTAAGAATATTACTTTTCAGCATAATACGTATACAGGATATTTAACTATCAGATAGCTTCAAATTTAGCAGAAGCAGTGCAGCATTAGTCTGTTGTTCCCTGCTATGAACTTGTGCTGGGTTCAGCAGTAGCAGTTATTTTTGTCCTTCTTAGTACCTGGTGCAGCGCTGTGGTTTTGACTTTCAGCCTGGGAACAGTGCTGATAGCACCGATGTTTTTAGTTGCTGCTCAGTAATGTTTACTCTGACCAAGGACTTTCTGAGCCTCATGCTCTGCCAGGGAGGAGGGGAAGCCGGGAGGAAGCAGAGACAGGACACCTGACCCAAACTAACCAGAGGGGTATTCCATACCGCAACACATCATGGCCAGGATGTAGAACTGGGGGCAGTTACCCAGAAGGGCTCGGGTTGGGCTGGGTATCGGTCGGCAGGTGGTGAGCGGTTGTATTCTCTTCCCTTGTTATTTTCTTTAACATTATTATTATTGGTGGTAGCAGCAGTGGTTTGTGTTACACGTTAGTTACTGGACTGTTCTTATCTCAACCCATGGGAGTTACATTCTTTTGATTCTCTTCCCCATCCCTCCAGGAGTGGGGGGGAGAAAAGGGGGGATTATAGATTATAAAGCAATGGGAAGATATGGGGAGGTACAGCTAGAACAGGTTCAGAAGAGGTTGAAGCTGCCTGAACAGTGAAGGCAAAGTGTGTGAGCCTGGCTTTTTTCTCCTTCTTCATACAGTTCTTGTTTTCCCAACACATATCTGTATCTTAGGAAAAACTCCTCCACTTTCAGTGAAGGACTGGGGTTGTGTGGAACAGAGAAGCAAAGATTTCCTTAATGTTGCTTGATCAGTTCCTGCTTTAGACTTCTACCTTTTAACCTATTTATGTTAAGCTGGATACATTCTGAGCTGCTTTGCTTCTTTACCAGGCAGGTGCAACAAGGGTAGAGATTTTTCAAGCTGCTGTTAGTTACCCCAATGCTTCTTTCACTATGATTTAAATTAGATTAGTGCAGCCAAAATGTACTAAAAATAGCTAATAAATATGTAATAAGTATGTAATAAAAAGCACTGTAAAGATATTCAACACTTCAAAAGCAAATTCTTGTCTGGAGAGGTACATTTTGTTTGCCCTTTAAGTAAGGAGGGAGCCCTGCAGTTTGTTCAAAACCCAAAACTCACAGATGTTGATATCAGGAATAGAAATAATGTCCTTTACTTCAAACCTGGTGCCAAGGAAAATATTCTTATCTGCAGCTAATATTGTTATCCTGAAGTTCACATTGAAATCATATGTAAATATTCTGGGAAACACATGATATTTAGGGAATATTTGTGTATTTTGCCATTATTATGATTTAGTAAGGGAAAAAAGGCTTCTTGAGCATATCCAGCTATTCCAGTGACTTGGAAGCAGCTGCAGAGCCACCAGCTTAAGTGCCTGGGTAGGCAAACAAAGAGCTGTGTGCTGCTTGCAGCACTTCCTCCAGATATTAGAATCTGGGCAGCTTGGCCCATGTACCTCCTACCCTCCCTACAGCACGAGACCACTTGTAGGCTTCAGTTTTATTTTATAGGGTTATCTGTATACTTGGAAGAGTGTCAGTCTCAGGTGATCTTCATCATGTATCAGAAGTGAGAGCTGAAGAATAATGAGAAGCTTTCTGGTATGCTGAAAAGCAATTGGTTTTGTTAAGGACCAGGCTATACCAAATGCCACAATATTATATGCTTTGTGCACACATACGTGTTCAACTCTGGACCCCCAATATAAGAGGGACGTGGAGCTGTTGGAGCGAGTGCAGAGGAGGCCACGGAGATGCTGCAAGGGCTGGAGCAGCTCTGCTCTGGAGCCAGGCTGAGAGAGCTGGGCTGGGTTAGCCTGGAGAAGAGAAGGCTCCTGAAGGGGAGACCTGAGAGCAGCTCCAGTGCCTCAAGGGGCTGCAGGAAACCTGGAGAGGGGCTTGGGACAAGGGCCTGTAGGGACAGGCCAAGGGGAATGGCTTTAACCTGACAGAGGGGAGATTGAGATGAGCTCTTAGGCAGAAGCTCTTCCCTGTGAGGGTGCTGAGGCACTGGCACAGGGTGCCCAGAGAAGCTGTGGCTGCCCCATCCCTGGCAGTGTTCAAGGCCAGGTTGGACACAGGGGCTTGGAGCAAGCTGCTCTAGTGGAAGGTGTCCCTGCCTGTGGCAGGGGTTGGAACTGGAGGAGCTTTAAGGTCCCTTCCAACCCAAAACATTTTGTGATTCTATAGTTTGCAGCTGTAGTTTTAATATGGATAGATCCAGTCCCTGCCCCACTTTTAGTCACTCTGCCTGGGTAGTGCTCCACAGGAAACTTGAAAAAAGAACTGAAAAGAACAAATTCAATAGCAATAGTTGTGTTATTTTTAAGCTACTGCCTTGAACAATGTCCCTTCAGTAAATATAATACAAATGCTAAACTATTGATCACAAGAACTGAGGTTTAGAGCCCATCAAGCTTCTGTTGTCTTTCTTACTCTGCAGCTGCAGTGTCAAGTATTGAAAATCCCGGAAAGTCACCTGTGGAATATTTGATGTCCCTAAATACAGGCCCGGTGGTGTGTATTTTTAGGTACATACATCAACAATCCTTCATTATTTTGTCTTTTCACTCAAAATTAAAGTATTTGTCTTGAATTTCAAGAGGCACTCTCGATATATTCATTCATGAGCTAAAATAAACGGAAGGGAGCCCACAGAGGAAGAGATTACTATAGGAGAATGGTTTTTTACTGCTGTTAAACTGGCCAAATATTTGCAGCTTTGCAATGATTCATCCTTTTTCCTCTCTTGTTCAGCAGGATTTTGGAAGAACAGACTGAGGAAGGAGCTAATGATACTCCAAAAGAGGATCAAGTCCTTCTTTGGTGATTAATTTTATCTGAACCAAATCCTTTGTTGCCATAATGTGGCCACAGAAGTGAACAGAACCTCCCATGCTCACCCCAAGGGAGGAGAAAGCTCTTTATTTCACATATTTTATCCATATTTATTATTTCTTTTAAAATAAATGCTACTATTTAACATTCATTATTATCTTTATGAAAGGAAATGCTTAAGCCTGGGGATCTATCCTGAGACAAGATAGTTTGGGACCATCCTGTCAAGAGAGAGGTTGGGACCAAGAGGAAGCTCTTGAGTCATCACTGTGGTGCTCTGCTATCACCAGCTATCTTGTGGCATAAACCTTATCCTGAACTGGTCAAATTTAATAACAAACCAGGTAACTTCTCTATCCTACTCAAGGGTGTGTAGTCAGCGTGTGTAGTAAACCAGTCATGAGTGAGAAACCATCTCTCAGTCTCCACCCCACGTTTTCCTGTGCTGTGATTTGTGTTTGCCTTTTCCCCTAGGTTGTACCTCAGGCTAAACAGTTCTTTCCCTTCCCATCTCCTCTTCTGTATCTGTAAGCAGCAGCCAGTTCTCTTCTTTCCCTTTAAGATGCCTCTGCCCTATTAAATAACTTCCCACTCACTTTGGGCTCTTCTCCCTTAAGCACCACAATGCAAAAACATCAGTTCAGTCCCAGCTGTGTCTCTGGGAGTCATTCAGGTAGTGCCCTCTGAAATAAGAACTAGCTGCAGTGCTTGGGTTTGTTCACTTCAAAGACCCCTCCAGGGGATTACACAAGCAATTCTACAGGTTTATCTCCCTTTGTCCTATACATCCTCCAACACCATCAAAAAATCGATTCAGTTAGGCCTGAACATATGAAAGAGTCTAGCAGATAGCTTTACATGGGACGAAAGCTTTATGGAAACAGGCATCAAGGATGGAGATGGAAAGCATCACCACTTCAGTGCTTACTAATTGCTGCCTGCATTACAGTTGCAACAGGCTGGCATTTTAAAGCTCCCTTCTCTGAAGAGCTGACGGATGGTGGGATGGATGTGTCATTTTTTGGTGATTAATTTATCTGAACCAAATCCTTTGTTGCCATAATGTGGCCACAAAAGTGAGCAGAACTTCCTGTGCTCACCCCAAGTGACCTTGAGTGAGGTGTTTTATGTGTCTTATGCCTGGTGTGCCTGCAGATGGGAATTCTTCTTACCTTCCCAAGACCACTATCAGTTTAGCTAAACCTGAACCTATCGAGTGCTTTGAGCTCTTTAGAGGAAACATCACACAAGCGCAGGTATTATTTAAACACACAGGTAGAAGCCATGGATAAAAGTCTTTCTGGAAGGGACTCTCATGGTCTCATGTGAGCAGTGTTTGTCCTCAGCAGATTCTGGACACAAAGGTCTGAATGTGTTTTTCTGTTAGATCTAAAGAGGTGTCTCAGCAGTGAGAATACTGCTTTATTTTATTAGAAACCAGTGCTTCTATTGAACTCTGAGTCAGAGTCGCTCTGCTATAGGGGTATCTCTACTATAGTTGGCAGTGTACCCATTCCAGCAGTCATTTCTGTGCACATATTCTGATCACGGAGTAGTTCAGCCTGTAAAACCTTGTTTTAGCTTCAGTGTTCCAGGAGCTTCCCATTTTGGCATGCAAGTCATGTTCCTGGAAGCAGAAGCACCAGCTTATACCTCAGTCCCTAGAGGCAGAAAAGAGGAATGTATAGCTTCAACACCTGCAGTCAAATTGCTGTGCCATTAGAGGCAAGGTTCACACTTGGCCTATAGGTAAAGTAAACACCAGAGAGTTAAAAAACTTTGCATAATGTCTTTAACATATATATATATATTTATGTCTCCTGTGAAGACAGGCTGAGAGAGCTGGGCTGGGTCAGCCTGGAGTAGAGAAGGCTCCTTAAGGGGAGACCTTAGAGCAGCTCCAGTGCCTAAAGGGGCTACAAGAAACATGGAGAGGGGCTTTGGACAAGGGCCTGTAGGGACAGGCCAAGGGGAATGGCTTTAACCTGACAGAGGGGAGATTGAGATGAGCTCTTAGGCAGAAGCTCTTCCCTGTGAGGGTGCTGAGGCGGTGGCACAGGGAGCCCAGAGAAGCTGTGGCTGCCCCATCCCTGGCAGTGTTCAAGGCCAGGTTGGACACAGGGGCTTGGAGCAAGCTGCTCTAGTGGAAGGTGTCCCTGCCTGTGGCAGGGGTTGGAACTGGAGGAGCTTTAAGGTCCCTTCCAACACAAACCAGTTTGTGATTCTAATATATGTTTTATGTTTTGGACAGCCCTGGGGTAGTCAGGCAGTTGGACTAGATGATCATTGTAGGTTCCTTTCAACTGAAACACTCCTATCCTATCCTATCCTATCCTATCCTATCCTATCCTGTCCTGTCCTGTCCTGTCCTGTCCTGTCCTGTCCTGTCCTGTCCTATCCAAAAAAGAAATCCAAAAGCCCAAGGTATGGAGAGAAAAGTATAAATCCATACCCCTTGCTACCGTCCATCTCTTCCCATTTGTTATATTCCCTTTACTGTTTATATTAACAATAAAGGGAGAATAAAAACTTCTGCAGGGTGCCTTGGACATCTTTGCTTCCCCAGCGGTACATTACCTGTCTGCTGGAGGCACTCAAAAGAGATAACAGGAGAAAATCATAACTTCCATCTCAGACGGGTGATTATAGAAATGATCACAGCAATGGGTACACAGTATTTCATCTGTCCACTGCCAGCTATAGTGGAGATAACCCCTTCTTCTCTAACTACAGGTGATGGATGACCCTTCTTGGCAGACTCAGCAAAACCCATCCTGCCTTGAGGTCCTATAGAGTAATGGATCATAATGAGTAGATAATTAAGTCTGATAAAAAACTTAAGAAGGTGAAAACATATTTCCCTGTGGCTGATCCTTGATTTTATGTGATCTTGAAAAGCCTTTTTCCTTCATCCCTTCTTACAGAAGATCACAAATAGCTTTGTCTCCCCTGCAGGGACCTGAACATACTAAAAGGTCAGTGCTAGATCAAAACAAATATGCTTTAAAAAAGAAGTATTTCCCTCAGTTCCCCATCATGCCATCTTATATCTGCAATGGAACCAATGCACAGTTTACCTGCATGGTTTATCATTTATCTCAGCAGACTGAAAGCAGTCATTCTGCTCCCATCGAGTCACTTGTTCTTGCTAGTTGAATGCTCACTGAAGCAGTCACAGTGCCAAAGCTTGCAAGGAAATATTCAGACACTAATTAACTTCTTCATTCTGTGTGTGGGCATGGGCTGTGTTTCCTCTGGAGCACAATTGGTGTTCAAGATACTTGTTTGGGGTTTCAGGGTGTTTGCACACAGTGTATGGCTCCCTGTGTCTCTGTTGGTATGTGTGTGGGACGCTGCTGGCTCTATTTGCCCGCAGCTGATCCTGCATGACATTCCCCTTGGAACACACAAGTTTTCCAATATGGAAGTTTAAAAACCAGCCCCTTCTCCCATTTTATTTCAGTTGCTAGATAAAAGGCAGCAAATCTCATGGCTACTCCATCAAGCCATCCCAATAAATGCTTGTGTGGCTGTAGGGTGGGAGGGGAGATTGATTTCAGCGTCTGTCCAACACACGTTCAGCCTGGGGCATTACCCTCTCCAGAGGTTTTCCTTTTTGATTTTCCTGATAAACAGATCTGCCTGGTGTTACTGCTGATGCTGATAGGATCTTCTCTGGGAGGTAGTTTAGCATGTGGATAGAATTGGCATTAGAGGTTACTAAAGTGGTTTGTGTTTCCGTGCTCAGCTTCTCCTTTACGAGTCACCTCTGCTGCGGCACATAAGGAATGGCTGGAAGAACAATATTGAGACTCCACACTGGAACTCCATATAAAATGTGTCCAGGCTGTGTGTTTCTGCACGTGGCATGAGAAGCCTTCATAGGAAGAAGGTTCTTGATGAAAAATTCAGCCCTCAAAGCATTAAGAAACACCGGCATTATGAAGAGGTTTTAAAATGGCTTGGTTTGAATGACTGTGGAAATGGCTTTAATAATAATCCAGTTTGTAAGGTAGCCTTTTGTTGTGGTTTAAACCTGGTTGAAACCACGACACCCTTTCTGCTCTGAAGCTGCCTGGATGGAGCAGGGGTGAGACAAGCCTTGTGCACACCCATTTGTAGCTGTTTCTTCTCATCATTAGAGGCCAGGGCTCTTCCAAGGGAAGAAACAGGCCACTGCTTTGTAGCTAGAAATCACAGAGAAGCCGCTCATGCACAGTCCAGGTGGGAACTGCTGTCACCAGCCTTCAGGTGTGCTACTCTTATTCCTTAGTAAAAAAGATGTAGGTTCTTTAAGGATAAGAAGACTGTGGGAGGCACTTAATGCTGCAGACAGAGCTGGAAGGGATGAGTCCCACCCTGTGGGACTAAACCTTGTTTCCAGCCCCAGGAAATGCCGAGGCACCATTGAAGGACTTGTTGATTCCCGCCTGCCCGACCCGGAGGCTGGAGGCCTATAAGAATAGATGAAATCAGCCCAGCTGGTGTTATCTGCTTCGTGTATTCCCCTCAGAGCAAGAGCAAGGTGCTGCATGGACCCTCCCATTCTGCTGCTGCAACAACACACAGGCTTCTACAGAGATTTCTGCTCACCCAGATGTTTCAAAGTACAGATGTGCCCTTTTACAGGGGAAAACCCCCCATCCAACACTTTTAAATCAGTTCTCCCTTGGATTTGCTTATCTCTGTGTGATTTGGCATAACACTTCCAAAAGAACCACCTATGTAACAGATTTGAGCAATGATAAGGGTAAAGCTGAGCATTAACCTTTAATGTTTTTTCCCCTTGTTATGTTGCACTTATTAGCGCAGTTATACTCCCTGTGTGTTGAGAGAGCAGGAAATTACACAGTAAATGTCAGCAGAAGCTGACGTTTAGGCTTTTATTATCACTTGACAAAGCCATGTAAATCCCATTAGCGCTAAGAGGAGTTGTATGTGTCTGCTGGGGGTGGGGTGGGGGGAACGAGACCATTTGCTCTCAAGTGCATGTAACTAATTAAAAATTTAAGAGCATATAGTACATAATTGTATGGGGCTGTAGGTTAATGCTGCTGAATGAACACTGCCAGAGCTGAAATGCTTACACAGAACAAGGGAAGCTCTGGCTGGCTCTGCGCAGAGAATAGTCTCTGTCTGTGAATAGTCCTGGTGTTCACTCTCTCTGTTGCTGGGGAAATGGCTATATCGCTGGCTGTGACCTTGGTCAGGAGCTGCAGGCCACAAAACAATGCAGGGAAAGGCAAAAGGACAAGATCTGGCACCTCCAGGCTGGTTTCACATCCTCTGCTGTACTGATTTCTGGCAGTGCTTTACTTGCCAATGCAAGCAGCAGGCAATGTCTTTATCCCCACCTTGCTCACTGTAGGATACCCTGTCACAAGCATCAGAGAAGCTCAGGTTTAGGGCAGGCAGCTCTCCTGGGAGCAGGGCAGTGCCAGCATCCTCTCATTGCCTGTTGATGCCTAGCCTCCAGAGTGGTTTAAGAAGTGTGTGCCTGCAGGAAGGGTGTCACCTTCCTATAAGAAAGAAGCCACCAGCCACTGCTATGATCCTGGGCTTGCTAATCTGGAGTAGAAACCACAAATCCGTACCTTCTGCTTCCTATATAATTGTGTTTTATTTCACAGGACTGTCTTAAAGTCATATATATAATTGTAAGTAACCAGTAATCTTCATTACAGGCACCGATAATTGACATAACAGCAGCAGTTACACAAAACATTTGTCTGTTGCTGCCCAAACAAAAGCATGTGCAGGACACATGCATGGAGAAGAGCTTCCATGCAGCTGAAAAAGAAGCCCCAGCCCCTGGCACAAAGGTGAGAAGCATGGTCCTAAGGAAAAGGACCATGAAAGACATTTGTCATTATTTGATTCTTCTTGAGGTTGAGGAAAACAAACTTCATAGAATAATAGAAAGGTTTGGGTTGGAAAGGACCTTAAGATCATCCAGTTCCAAACCCCTGCCATGGGAAGGGATGCCTCACACTAAACCATGTCACCAAAGGCTCTCTCCAGCCTGGCCTTGAACACTGCCAGGGAAGGAGCATTCACAACTTTCTTGGGCAACCCATTCCGGTGCCTCATTACCCTCACAATAAAGAACTTCTTCCTTAGATCTAACCTGAACTTCCTCTGTTTCAGTTGGAACCTGTCACCCCTTGTCCTATCACTACCATCCCTGATGAAGAGAAACTTCCAAGAAACAAACTTCCAAGTTCTTTGTAAATAAAGAGCATGGGACCAAAGAAACCCCCAGCTCTGCTAGAGGATTCACACCCATCTAGAAAACCCTCTAGGTGATAAACATGATGAGAAAGCCTCTATATAAATACGATGGCATTAAAACATTGTATTTAAGTTAATAAATGTTCTTGACGATCATTACTTTTTATGGCAAGATGGAATTGCTCAGACTAAGCCCATGGGCAGGTGCAACTCTCAGCTTATTCCCATTTCCTTATAATGCTTCTATGGTTTCAGAAGGCCCCATCACACAAAACCCAACCTTTAAAGTTTCTTGCATGTGCTTTACACTTTCAGAGCCGCTGCTGGTTTGAGTTTCACATCCAGGGAAAGCTGAGCTGATCTCTTTATTCGATGATAAAAGAGCAGCCACTGGATCAAAGGCAGGTCAGGATCGCATGTATTACAGCGTGGTTTGGCATTTATGTTGAGAATCTCCTGTCATCTTCACCACCACCCACAAATGCCATAGCAACCACATTGCAGAGGGGCTAAAATGCAGCCACAGTTTAACATGCTGCGAAATGAATGCACTTCTTGTTTTACCACTGTGCTGCTGAATTCATGTCAGCTGCAGGCAGTGATCAGTAGAAAGCTCAGTTCCCACTGAAGAGAAGATAAATAAACAGCCCTGGCTTTGGCTTTGTGGAATGTGGCACTTATGGGGAATTCAGCTGTGTGGGCAACTAACTCCAAGGACCTCAAATTATACGTTGCACTTGCACTTGCACATCAGCTTTGAGAAGGGCCATAAGAAAGTCTTTGCAGTGTACACAAGGTCCAACCAGAAGAAGCAACCGTTTGTTGAGGACTTCCTACAGAACAATACTTATTTAGTCCCCGTGTTTGACTTTCAGCAGTTACTGCAATTATTCTCCAGTACAATGGCCCGGGTTCCAGCAATGGTTAGTAAAGCTTGTGCAAGTCAGTAATTTGCTGCAATTAAAACTATGCAGCTAGCATTGTGTTTGCTGGCAAAGCACAGGAACATTCTTCTTCTTACAGTGTGTTAAAGACACTTTAAAAGTGTGCTAAAGCATCCAGCATGTTCATCATCGTGTGATCTTTCTTCACAGCTTGCTTACCTCCAGTGGGGTGGGCTTTTCTCAAATACCATCATGATCTTGTTCTGTTACACCCACTTCCAACTTCCCCATATCCCTGTATATCACTTCCAGGCATTAACTATTCCATACTCCTTGTAGGGATCATTAGTCAAATACTTCACTCAAAACACTGTGTACATACTGTCCATAGACCGCTCTGAATCCAAGAACAAGTTGTTCCTGTTACGCATTCACCGGTTATTTTTCCCTCTTTGTGCTTCCAGCCATCTCCCAGCAGAGCTGGAGCAGAAATCCCGCACACATGAGAAGGGAGGGACCGCACTCGAGGCAGTTTCTGCAGCCAGATGGAGTCAGGCTGATGTTACCCACCCCTTTGTGACCTTTGCTTAACTGTCATGTTTGGCTACCGGCCTTTGAAGCGATGGGATACGAGGTCTCCAAAAGGGGCAGGTAGGACGATGGAAATAAATGCTGCTCAGATATGGGTGCAGTAAATAACTGATGCTTTTAATGTCTTT